CCTGGTAAAGACCATAACTTATTGTCATTTTACTAATGGTTGCTGCCTCAACAGCTAGTGGAATTTATAGATTGCATTTTTTTTTTTCCCGCATTTGTTGAAAAGTTTGGTTTTCTCTGTTACTTAAATTTAACAATCAGGGTTCTAGTGCCGGAGGAGAGGGTTTTGAAGTTACAAAATATGGTCATGGATGTGTTGCACTGATAGGATTTCCGAGGTTTGTAATTTTATAAACGGGACATATTTTCCTTTGTTTTATCTTAAGAACTTATAATAACTTGTATATTACTACATTCAATAAACTTCCTCTAGAAATATCACCAGAGAGATGGTAAAATTTTCCTATTTGTTCTCTTAATGCTAAAACCTGGGTGGCACCATGTCTTGACTTGCTTATGATAGAGATGGCATGGAACTATTAGGACTTGTTTTTTATATTGTTTTTACTGTAATAAGATATTTTACAACTTTTTTTCCTTCCACTTAAGAATTTAGGATTATGGACTTATAGTGTTGATGCTAATGCAACTGGTCCCCCTATTCTCTCTCATTTTCTTTTATGCATGGGTGCGTACCTCCTTACATGGTTTGATGGTTGAATTCATGAGTGTGTGTCCATTTGGTGTCCATGGACGTGTTTACTTGAATGTGCCGAATGTGCCTATTAGAAGAAGTTAACTTTTGCATCATATTGCGACTGCAGTGTGGGGAAGTCAACACTTTTAACAATTTTAACAGGCACCCATTCAGAAGCAGCATCTTATGAATTCACTACACTGACCTGCATTCCTGGTATCATAAATTACAATGATACCAAGATTCAGCTACTTGATCTTCCTGGAATTATTGAAGGTGCTTCTGAAGGAAAGGGGCGTGGAAGGCAGGTAAAGACTTTAACTCCATGTTTCTATTGGTGATAAATCATGCTTATTTCCATATGTCAGGAACAATTTATGGTTATTTGAAGCAAAAGGGAGGAAAGTCCTTTTGACTTTTATTTTGAAATATTTGTCTATAGTAAAGTTCTTAACAAGTTCAAGTGTATGGTCCCAGGGAGTGGGGTTTGTAGGCAGTGTCCTTCATTCAATTCCATTTTTAGAATTTGTAGACTTTGGATAGTTGCTATTCATTCATATTTGTAGCTTGGTTGGTATTGATGGAATTCAAGAATTTTGACAAGACTGCTTACTCTTAGGTTATTGCTGTTGCGAAATCTTCAGACCTTGTGTTGATGGTTCTTGACGCCTCCAAAGTAAGTGCCTCTATCAGCTTATCATATATCTTTACTATTTGTTTGTTGGTTGCTAGATTGTGTAGTGCTTGTGAGTGGCTACAAGCTGTTTAAATGGTTAATACCTAATAGAGTACATTAGCATTCCTTTACTTTTCTTTCTTGTTATCCTATACTCTCCCCATTTGTTGCATGTGCCTATAGTTGATTAATGCTTTTGCAACTTCTGCATATTTTCCTGACCTTGGGGGTTTTCATTGTTGATAACATTCTACAATGTAAGATGTTAGCATTTATGTTTCTTCTCCTGTTGTTGTTACCACCTCCACCCTCTCCTTCCTGCTGCCCACCCCCCAAATCACCCTGCCTCTCTTTCATTTGATGGTATCAGTCTTGTTCTGATCGTATTTGTCAATATACCTCAGAGTGAGGGACATCGCCAAATTTTGACATAGGAACTGGAGGCTGTGGGTTTGCGTTTAAACAAAAGACTGCCTCAAGTAAGTTCTTTTCTCCTTCTCTCCCCATCTCTCAAATGAATCATTTTTTTCTCATTGCTCTTCCATTGTGATTGTTTTCACTATTAAAGACCTCAATTTCAAAGCTAATGTTCACTGACATGAGTAAATGTGTTTTTATTGCCAAATTGTTTTTGAAAGAGATTTGCATTCACCTTGCCTGTTGATCAAGTTAAAACCGTATCTACCTAGTACTTATCCTGGTGCCTTTTCTCCATTTCCAAGGATCTATTAATGTGGTCTGCTTCATTTTAGCTTTTTTTCTTTTTTGGCAGATATATTTCAAAAGAAAGAAAACAGGAGGTATTTCTTTCAATAGCACTCTCCCATTAACTCGTGTGGATGAGAAGCTTTGTTACCAGATTCTTCATGAATACAAAATTCATAATGCAGAGGTATGCAATTTTCAAATTTAGTACCGCTGATTAGGAGTTGTTTTTTTATTTACTCTATTGATTCATGCTTTGACTCAGATTCAAGGAAAATATTGATTAAGCAAATGATTGTAAATGAACCATGCTAGCATGATAATGACTCAAATGCAAAGTAGGTTGAGTATATGATGTGGTGACTTTGTGCTTTTGTTCTCAGCCTTGCATTATAGTAATGCCTTCCCTTATAGAAAATTTTCCTGTTTTATCTTTTCTATTAGGAAAAATAAAGTGAAAATGGCCTTGCTATGACTAAAGTGGAAATCTGAAGGTCCAAAAGGTTCTCCAATAATGATTTGTTTTGTGATTAAAAATTTGGTGTTTAAATTTGAAGTAGTTTTATACATTAATCTTTGCTGCAATACTGCATGCTTAGTTTCTACCTTTTCATTCCTTTACAATTTCTTTGTACTATTGAGATTTTTGAGTGTTTAAGGTAGAATAATCCCTGTAGGCTACATTTGCTCTAAACCCCTCTCTATTGTGCTTATTTATTTACGTGTTGATGCTTTCTCTCTGCTGTACCATTCCTCAGTCAAAGGGTGTTTGTTTCCTGATTTCCTTTTTTTTGCAGGTTCTATTTCGTGAGGATGCCACCGTGGATGATTTAATAGATGTCATTGAAGGGAACCGCAAATATATTAAGTGTGTATATGTTTACAATAAGATAGATGTTATTGGTATTGATGATGGGGATAGATTGGCTCAGCAGCCAAATTCTGTTGTCATTAGCTGCAATCTGAAGGTGGGTTCTTCATTCCTTAGCTCTTTGCAACCAATAATAATGTTAGGTTTAATGAGATTTAGGTCAATTCCTCAAACCTGCCCAATCTACCCCCTCTCCACCCGTCCCCAAACATGGTGAACTGCTGCAATTAGTTTAAGGAAAATATGCATTAGTAATTAGTTCTATTTCATATTTGAGAAATATTAACCTTTGTTGTTCGTCAATTCTTGAGCAGCTGAACCTAGACAGACTGCTTGCAAAGATGTGCCAAGAAATGGGACTTGTGAGAGTATATACAAAACCACAAGGCCAGCAACCCGACTTCACTGACCCTGTTGTTCTTTCTGCTGTATGTGAGATATTTCCCATCATTCATGCATTACTACATTGTCGGATCCATGCATGGAATTTCTGTAGCTCTCTCAAACCTATTTCCTTGTTTCTATTGCTCTGTGTATGTGATAGGATAGAGGTGGCTGCTTGGTTGAAGACTTTTGTAACCACATACATAGGAGTTTAGTGAAGGATGTGAAATATGTGCTTGTGTGGGGTACAAGTGCAAGGCACTACCCTCAGCACTGCGGCATCAGGCATGTCCTGCAAGATGAGGATGTCATTCAGATCGTCAAGAAAAAGGTAACTGAAAACCTGTTACTTACGTTTAGTAAATCTACTTTATGCTACAGGCTGCCTTATTGTTTTTCTCGTTTCTGTATTAAAAAACCCGACAAGGTTTTATGCTAGTGTGCCTTTGTTTTCTTTGATATATCATGTTTTCTCTTCTGGAGTCGAATTTGGGAAACGAGCATGGAATGAGATGCAGCAGCAGTGTGGTTTGTAGGTAAGGGAAGTCGAGGAGTAATGATGAACTTGATTTTGCAGGAGAAAGAAGGAGGGAGAGGTCGGTTCAAATCACATTCAACCGCTCCTACTCGGATATCTGACAGAGAGAAGAAGGCTCCCTTGAAGACCTAAACCATGTGGGGCAGCATTGCGTTGTGGGGGTGGCAAGGCAAGTCCATAGGGAGAGAGCATCCTTTTTGTTGTCTCATGAATGACTTCTGGTACATTTTTTTTTTTTTATAATTACATTTCAATCTTATATTTCATAGTATTTTTTTTTTTATTTTTGGTTGCCACAATTTTTCATTTCTTATTCCATCTCACTTGTATGTCATGCGACTTGAATTTAAGACTTCTTACTTTCAATAAAAAGAGATGATCACTAAACTATTTAAATCATTGACATATTTCATAGCATTAACAATTGACCTATTTGGTGCGCGAAGAATGTCGTTCACAAATCCTGCAGGCCCAGCGCTTTTGAGAAAATTTCCGTTTAGCCAACTAGGAAATATCTTGGACCAATTTTCACCCAGTACTTCTTTGATAAATTTAATTAATTTAAACTTAATATTTATGATTGAATATTGTATCCCATTTGTTATTCTAACGAAATGATTTATATGTGATGTTTTGGTATAAATTTTTTTTATTTTAGTTGCATAAATTATTTTTTAATTTCAATTTCTTTATATAATATGTAATTTAAATTCATAATTTTTTGTTTTTATAAAAAAAAATAAATTACTGTTTTCTTAAAAATTTAGGTGATAGTTGTTATATTTTTTTCTTCTCTCATTGGGTTTCTAATTTTTCGGATATAACAATTTACTTGCTCTGATAAATAATAGCAGTATTAATTTAATTTTTTGATAAAAATTTTAAGTATGAATTTAACATAACAAATCAATGTTAATGAAAAATTTTATTTTTTTATATGTAGTTATTGTTTAGTAATTTTACTCGATAAAATTGATTGTAATTGATTGCAAGATAATTCTTAATAACTATAAAAGATGAGCACTAATTTACTGATGATAATCACGAGATTTGAACACTTATCCACCCTAATATAATATATTCTTAAATTTTAACTTTAATTTTTTTTGTTGTAAAAAATAAAAAATCTAATTAACACTACTATTGTTGAAGTGAGAGAGTAGTTTAAAGTCAAGATTAGAGCCTTTCTACAATAAGGAAAAAAAAATTCTAAAAAAATTAAAATGACCCATATTATTGGCTCAAATTTTTAAGAAAAAAAAGGCACCAAATCGATTTGCAGAAGACAATCCATGTTCATGAAGACGGACCGCTTCCTGTTGCATGTCAAACAACAGACCTCCAAATACCCAATCCGCCACAACCCATCGCCTTCACCTTAGCAAAACAATTATTCAGCTGAAACAGACGCATGCTTTCTTGCTCAAAACTGGAACCAAGCCCCAATGCCACCTTCTCTTGACCCAGCTTCTTCTCCGCCTTCTCAGGTTTCCTGGTGATAACCTCAGTTATGCCCACCACCTGTTCGGCCAATTGCCCAGCTGCAAAAATCAGTACCTTTGGACTTCCCTCATACGTTCCCATGTCATCCACGCTCAATTCAGCCTGTCAATCCGTTTATACAGTAAGATGCAGAGGGAAGGCGTACTGCCATCTGAGTTCACCTTCTCCTCTGTGCTCAATGCTTGTGCTCGGATTCCGGCGATTTTGGAGGGCAAACAAGTTCATGGGAGAGTGGTAAAATCCAGTTTTTTCACGAACAGGATAGTGCAAACTGCGTTGCTTGATATGTACGCGAAATGTGGGTGTTTGGTGGACGCACAGAATTTGTTCGATGTTATGTGTGACAAAGATGTTGTTGCTTGGACAGCGATGATCTGTGGATACACTAAGGTAGGAATGATGCAAAAAGCCATGAGCTTGTTTGATTGCATGGGGGAGCGGAATGTGGTCACATGGACGGCTATGGTTGCTGGGTATGCTAATTCTGGAGACATGAAAGCAGCAAAGGAGTTGTATGATATGATGTGGGTGAAAAATTCAATTACATGGGTTGCTATGATTGCAGGCTATGGGAAGTGTGGTGATGTGAGTGAGGCCAAAAGGGTGTTTGATGATATAGTAGCACCAGATGCCACGTGTTGGGCAGCAATGCTGGCTTGTTATGCACAGAATGGTTATGCACGGGAGGCTATTGACATGTATATGGAAATGGGAAATGAAAACGTAAAAATTACTGATGTGGCAATGGTGGGGGCTATTTCAGCTTGTACCCAACTGGAAGATGTTGAAATGGCAAAGAGATTGACTAAGAATATGGAGAAAGGATGCTGTGGTAAGCTTGAAATGATCAAATTGATCAGTTCTCTTATGGCTATCTGTCTTTCCATTTCCTTTTTGTAATTAACTTGGTGATGGATGTAACTCTGATTTTCTTTTCCATGCATGGCCATTGCAGATCGAACACTATTTTTATCAAATGCTTTTATTCACATGCATGCAAAATGTGGATGTATGGATCAGGCCTGGAAGGAATTCAATACAATGAAGGAGAGGGATGTGGTATCTTATGGTGCAATGATAACAGCCCTAGCTGATAATGGGGAGACCGAAGAAGCTTTGAATCTATTTTCAAAGATGCAAAAGGAAGGAATAAAACCAAACCAGATTACCTTCATAGGAGCCCTCAGTGCATGTAGTCATGCTGGACTAATAGAAGAAGGCTGCAAACTATTTAACCTGATGACCAGAGTTCTTGGCATTAAGCCCTTAAGCCAGCACCTCACTTGCATGGTAGTTCTCCTTGGAATGACTGGGCAACTCAAAAATGCATATAATCTTATCATGGAGTACAAAGGTGTCTCTGATGCAGGAACTTGGGGTGCTTTGCTTGGAGCTTGCAAGGTACATGGTAACACGCAATTAGGTGAAATTGCAGCCAGCCATCTCTTTGAAATTGAGCCTCAGAGTGCAGGAAACTATGTGGTTCTGGCAAATACTTATGCTTCACTGGATAGATGGGGAGATGCAGAGAGAGTGAGGAAGATGATTGGTGGAAGAGGAAACAGAAAGTTTCCTGGTTGCAGCTGGGTATCAATTATCAAGTAACGAGATACAAACTGATATTCCTCTGTTGTTCAAACTATTTTTTGGTCTGTACATTAGAGAATGCTTTTAATTAATAAATATAATTGATTTTGTTTGGTGAACAATGTTTAAATGTATCTTAATGCTATTATTGTCTATATTTTTCTCTACACCCTCAAAGAAAGGTTTCCTAAAGCTTTATTTTACTTGTGTTTATTATGTTAAAAGTTATTTGTTGCTGCCTGCTTTCCTTCTTGAGATTCTGCTGCCAGATACATAATATGGGGCATTCTACTGTCATGCTTATTATATTAGTAATTGTATATATAGTAATTAGTAACATGGCAAATATTCCTTGATAATTGATATTATATTCTCATCGGTAGAGAGCCATGCCAGTTTTGATGGGCCGCACTAGAGTAACTTTACTGTCATACTTTATGGCTTCCTGCTAATAGTTTGTCAAATACAATTTCAAGTCATCTAGAGAAATAACTTAACAAACTGAGCTTCCAAGTTCTTTTCTTGATTCTTCTCATCTTAGCAGCACCCTGCACCCTTAGTAATTTCTTTGTGAAAATTTGGCTCAGTGCCACCTTGATTTTAATCCATTCCTTTGTCTTATTGCCACTTAGAATAGATGAATGTTTACCATATTATAATAAACCACATTTCTGATTCTATTTCTTCTACCTGTTCCTAGTTCACCCTGCAGCTCCACATCCCTTTTCATACTTTCTTTATGAATATTTGACCAGAGCACTGCCTTAGATTTCTACAAGGAAGAGTGGTTCATCTTTTAACCTTATGGTTCAGTTAATGTTGAACATTTAGTGATCTTATTTCACAATTACCATGTGTATATCTAGTGTAACTTATTTCACAATTACCATGTTTCTATCTTTGATGATCAGGTGGAAATAGTCTGTTTTTAGAACGTAATTATTATTATCATTCCTACAAAGGAAAAAACAAATTTGATAACTGCTGCAATGAATAGAATGTCAGTGCAGTGCCAGATTCTCCTCGCTTTTCTTGCCTTTTCTTTCTCCATTGCCTTATTGATAAGCCTTGGTTTCATCTCTGTCTTCAATATAAATTGACTAGTCCATCAGGAGTATAGCTTTGTACCAGTACTGTGAATGAGCCAGTTCCTCTTGAGACATAATCTATTTGCAGGTTTCTTCCTTGTTGATGATTTTCTTTGTTTAATTCTACATGTTATATCTATTGCTTGCCTCCCTAATTGTCTTTTATGATATACTCTTGAAATCTGTTATTGCTTTTGGTATTTGCTATTTGCCTTTTGACCATTATCTGAAATCCAGTGAAATTTTCTGTGCCTAATATTATGGAGTTAATGATCCAGCAGCATCCTTAATATTATGGAGTACATTGTTTTCTTGTTTACAGCATCATCTTCCTTCAATATCCTAGATTCCAACTATGGACCGACAAACAAGATACATCTCCTACTCCAACAAAAGCAGATTAAGTTTTGCCTCTCTGAAAATTTTGTTTATGAGCATTGAGCTATATATATGGAGATGAACCTGGGGAGGAAGATGATGCTGATAGCAAAGCTGACAGGTTTTTTATGTCAGTTCAGTAATCTACCAATGGGACAACTCTATCTTGGTGATGTTGCCATGAACAATTTTGTCGTTTATGCCTCCATTTCCTTGGGCAGAGTTATCTAAAAGTTAGGCTGTATTAGTAGTTCATGACATATAATATTGTAAAAATATGCAAAATAATCCTGACAGATAATACTATTCCAATGAGCAGAATTTCCTCCATTGCCATCAGGAGGAGACCATTTTTGGCTGATTAGAATGCTGTTGGCATATAATTAGCCAGGAAAACATTTGTTGTTGAGGCTGATGTTTACATATGAGCCATTGGTTTCCATACAGCTGAGGTGAGCAATTGTCATCGTCCTCTTGTGCATTTTGAGTACATGAATGAAATGGAACCCTACTGCTGGCAAATTTCATTCATTGGCCCTTCTAATAGGAGGTACCTTTAATGAAATGTGAGCAGAATCTATCTCTAGATGTCCAACTGCTAAAGCCCGCTTATTGCTTGCTTGTGGATTTGAGCATCAAATGTCCAACATATGTCAGATGAGAAACCCAGAAAAAACAAACTTAGAATTAATCGTCTTTAGATGTGCATTAGCATATTGCAAAATGAAGAAAATCCTTAGAGTTAGAATCGTAGAAGAGTCTATTGAACCTATATTGTAAGATGGGGGGACAGAATATTACTATGACTTTTTAGTACATCAAAATTTACCTGTTTAACAATTCATAATAAATTAAATTTTCCATTTTGATCTCAAATCAAGGTTTTTATGATTAGTGAGATCAACTTGTCTATTTTTTTTTTCTTGAATTAGGTTATGATGCGGATAAATTTTGAGAAAACCAACATGTAAATGTAATTGCATTTTTAATGTTACATCCAGTATTTGGTTTTCGATGGAACTTCCCCTAACCCGGTGAAGGTCTTCATGTATATGTGAAATGCCTTCCATTTCTATCACTGAAGGCTTGTGCAGCTGAACATGTCATTCTTGGTTGGGTTGTTCTAAACTCCATTTTGAAGAGAAAACCAACCAAAACTAAAAATCAAGCCTGAGAACAAACCCATTGAAGCCCATCCTTCAGAGGACCAGCCCCAGAAATTGCCCATTGTGCATACTTTTGCTTGAGACTTTGCTTCTATATTCTATAAGTCGTCTCTTTCACCCTTTTCTTTTTTCATATTTAAAGCTAATGATTCGAATATGAAACTTTTCACAATATCAACATATCCTTAAAACATATGATTTATACTGATCCATTATTAACCATAAATTTTGCAAAAACAAAGACTTATACCTACCCTTCTGGAAACCATGTGATAGCATCAAATTTTTGCCTAAACAAAAATAGTAGCGCTGGCACCATAACCACGTTCAATATTCAGCTTATGTTCACAGTAAAAATCAATATTTAGAATCATCCATGATAAACCAATATTCGATATTTCTCCTCTATTCATACAACAAATAACAATTCCACTATTAAATTTAGGCATTTGTAACACATTATGATCAGCACAATTCTACCTTCGAGTTTCCCCATAAATGATATTGACATTTTAATTCCGGGGAAAAAAATTTTCTTTAAGGTTATTTTGCTAGAAATTATTGGTGGAGATGGACGTCGTTATCCCCCTGGCATCTATAGATATTAATGATGCTCAAAGCATGAAAGGGGAGATGCAGAAAATGAAATAATGCTAACCCTAAAGACAGTGATTGATCTGCATCAACTTTAGCTTTCCAAACGTAGAGAGGGCGTGGCCTTAATTTAGCTCTCTCGATCTGCTGCCCATCACACACGTTTTTCTCTTTTGATGCAAATTATTGACTTAATTTTCCCAATTTCCACACACGTCAACGTTCACAATCAAAGTTGGGAATCCCAGATATGTTTCTCAAGGGCCGAAGAGAGAGGCCACCGTAGCCGTTGGTGGTTTTTTCCTAGCTAACGTCTACAGCGGTCACCATCGGCATTGATTGCTGCCAAAATCTAGGGTTCTTGGGTTCTCAGGTTCTAAGTTGCTATGACTTTCTGCATAGTTAATTTTAGGGCGGGCAGCACCGTTTCATCAGAGTACACCATAAAGAGTTGAATTGGTGGCCAGCTATTTAATCATTAAAATATGCTACAAGAAATAGAGCTACGGACAGTCAACGTACTGTTCTCGAGTCTTAACATACATGTTTTTTATACCGGTATCAATGATAGGTATATTAATTTACCAGTGCTGGTAAAATATATACAGATATGGTTAAGTAGTTCTTTTTGTCTCATAATGAAACTCATGTTCAGACAATAAAAAATTTTTCTATCAATTACTAATTAATCGTCAAATATCAATTATTATCAATAATAAAAAAAAAAGATTGAAATTGCTCCTTAATGATAAACTATATATAGACTTTCAAAATTCTAGTCTATATGAGTTGTAAATATCAAATTTGATTCAAAATGCTTTTTGCCACTTATGAAAGAATGTTATAGATAGCTAGATACCTAGCTTAATTAATAAAATCATATATGCCTATATGAATGGAAGTATCTAGGAGCCTATGGCCGGTGCATGCTTTTATCACCAATTGATGATCTTTTGTTAAATTTTAATCGAAAGATAACTAAATGAAAAGACAGTTTGGATGAGATCATGACATTCCTAAACGAGTTTAAGTTCAACTTTGTTTAATTTAACGGTCTAATCTAATGAAAAAGCGTATACTATATATGCTTAGGCAGTTAGGCTTTAATTAGCATTATATTTTTATTAATCAATCCAAAATATCACTATTAAACAATTATCATTATTCTTTGATGGTACGTATAGCCATCGAACTTGTAAGATCGTCGCACTCAAATCATATAACATGATGAGGAACGTGCAAGGAAAAGTGCATGCCTTGTCCCTGCTTGAATTCATATATTTTGGGCAAAATAAAAACTAATGAACGCATGACTTCAAGCTTGTAGGGTTATATTCTTCTTCAGTAGAAGTATTAAACATTCCCTATGCCCACAAGAAGTGGCTCAATTTAGTTAGAAAATTTAAGATATTCTAACTCAAAATTCTCAAATTTAATTTTGAGACAAAGAGGTTAAGAAGGAATTTAAAGAAATTTAATAGAATTATTATTTTTTATATAATTTATTATTGAATATATTAATAAAAAATAAACATTCTTAACTAAAATAAAAAATATATAATTTAAATATGTGATTTAGATTTAAATGTCATCATTTGGTGATGTAAGAACAGAAGGAAAAAAAAGGAAAGAAAGAAAAGCTTGAACAAACACACAGTTTCACACTGTAATCATCTTGGGATCACCAAAATTCTCTCTCTTTTCTCTCTTTTTCTTTTCCATTTTCCCACTGATCAAATAAACTGGATCCCTTTTCCTCTTTAACTAAAGCTGCCTCTCTCCGTCTGTCTCTTCTCAATTATACTTTTCTCTCACTACCCATGTCATAAGACAGTCCACATAGTTACACTTCCATGGGCACTTTAGTAACTTCAACAAGGTAGC